AGGTTAAATGCTTTAGTAGCTCTTATTTTAAAAAGTCAGTCCTGCACTAGAAAGGCAATAAACACTTGTGTGGGAAATGTTGTCCTTGAGCTGCTGCGCCTACATTCATCTACATCAAGAGCAATCTGAGGTGAAATTTAAAGTAATCATAATAAATCCACTTAACAAAAAGCAAACTAGGCATCTAAGTCTGTTTCTTCCTCAGGCAAGCATAACTCAGGAACATGATATAACATATCACATATATCAGCAGATTTTTCCTTTTCTTGTAGCAGATTTCTCTTCCTTATGGAACTTGCCAGCTTTTGGGAAGGTGAGTTTTGGAATCAGGGGAACAAGGTAAAATGGGTGGTGCTGAGGCCAGAACGTTCTCAAAACAAAACTTCTCTGTAATGACCCTAAATTTGATAACTTACAAGAGACAGGTGGCTAGAATGTACACAATGCGTAAAGTATATGTAAAGGAAATTTCCTTTCTCCCTCATGCTGAAAGGATTGCCACAACTGGAGCCCCTGAGCTCTCCTGACATAAGGACTGCTCTCTGTTAGCCACTCCAAAAAAAAGTAGCATAGTGGCGCCACCCATCTCTCTCCTTTAAAACAGGAAGCACACTGCTATGTGGCCATGGAGGGAAGTTTATGTTGAATCCCAAGTAGATATAGGATGATGGACACTCTTTTCTGTATGCCCTACCTGGGACATCTGACAGGAACTGTGCCTCCCTGGTATGTCTACACTGCAATGTAAGCCTGGGCTCAGACCCAGGTTTGAGGCCAAACCCTTTGGGGGTAGAGTATTCGAGGTCAAGTCAAGACAGGACCCAGGTTCAAGCCCTATTGGTTTGCAGAATTGATACAGCCCCCCAGACTTGGGTCCTGGGAGTCTGCCAACAGTATCTCACAATCCAAATGGGCCAACTTTCTTTGTCCTCTCTATGCCATGAATTCTCAGTCGACTCCAGAGAAACAGAAGCAAGCCCCTTTGTTGTAGAGTGCAGTGGCTTGGCAAGTCAGCATTTAACCTTTCCATTGTTTTCTGACTTCTGAGCTGCAAACACACCTTTAGAGAACCATCTGTGTTTGCAATGGAGACCAATCAGAAGTAGTCCTTTACAGAGCACACTGCTTCATTGTTGCAAGAGCACATCCAGATGTTTGTAAATCTCTGGTGTAAGGCCAGCAAAACAATGGATTTTAGTAAGAACACACGGAATGACCACCGGCATACAGCGATACAGGCAAACAGCAAAGAAGATGATAGCATTGCAAATTTACTGGACTGGTGACAGTGCAGGGTGCAGATTAAAGAGTTCAAAACGGGGTAATGTAAAACCAGGGACTAGAACTGCACCTCAGGCAACTCACCGACATCATGCCCATTTTATGAGGCATTTGACTGTGTGCTGGGTACTGCACCAAGCACAGAGCCAAAGGCGGTGCACAATGACCTGGTCAGCTAGGATGGTAACCTGCTGGCCCCAGAATCCAGCAAGGGGACTGATGAGAGCCAGTAGCAGTGAAGTTACTGTTGCAGAAGCAGCACATCCTGGGGCCATATTTGGGGGAGCTGTTTGATGCCCTCCCCCGTCCCATCAGCCCAAGGAACAGCCTCCAGCAGACAAAGATGGGACAGAAGCCTTCCTGGAGCCTGCTAACTTTCTGGGTCCATTTTAATGTTTATTAATATAGGAATGGGAGGGATTTCCATTCTATGAACCAATGCAAAGTTATTACAAGCCCCAGCTATTAGCACTAATGGCAGATGGTAGGCTAGCTCCTTCCTACCTGTCCTCCCTCCCACTCCCCACAATGTGAAGTTCAAAATGGCAACTGGAAAAGGCAAAGAGTAAAAACACCTTGAAAGAGAATTTTGACTTGAAAGGTGCAGATTTTTGCTAGAGCATAACCACCCTTACATTGCCATGTCTGTAAGTACACTGCTCGTAACCATTCAATGGTGGAACAAGCCATCTGGAAACAGTGATGAGGGGCAGAAAGAAGGAAACATGTTTTATTGACAAATCTAGTCCATTTCAGTTAGAGGTAATCCATGCAGTCCGGGGTGGGGGGAGTGGGGAGGGATAGCTCAGTGGTTTGAGCATTGGCCTGCTAAATCCAGGGTTGTGAGTTCAATCATTGAGGGGGTCACTTAGGGATCTGGGGCAAAATCAGTACTTGGTCCTGCTAGTGAAGGCAGGGGCTGGACTCAATGACCTTTCAAGGTCCCTTCCAGTTCTAGGAGATAGGATATCGCCATTAATTTATAATTTATTTATTTTTATTTAGGTAACAAAATCATTTCTCCCAAATACAACTGGGGGTTGAAATTTTGTCCAGAAATGTGCCAGGTGTCTGGAGGAGGAGGAAGGCTGTAGAGTTCTGTGTGTTTGCATGCAGTCATAACAGCCTAAGCCATGTGGAAGCTAACACATCAACCTGTTGATTCCCTCATGAATTCTGATCCAATCCAGGTGCTGACAGCAGCAAACTTCTCCTGTAGCAGGAACTCTCAGTGAAGGACATATTTTCCAGGGCTACATTGGTAACCCACTCCACTCATAGATGTGCTGTTCAGTCACCACACATTTGAATACTTTGGTTGCATACACTTTTAGTTTCCTACCTGCAGCTTGGAATGACATCTCCCTTTGCCAACTGGGCACCACAATGACTGTGATATCCTCTAAAATATGGAAGGCCTGAAATGATAGAGAAACCTTTGTGCAGCATGGCCGCTGACATCCCCCCAAAACCCAAGTTGCTGTACAATTTTTAGAAAAACAGAAACAACTGTGATTTTTTTGACTTATCATTGTCTCTTTCACTGTGATTAACCTGGCTGTGAGTAGGGTGGGTTGAAGCCTTCCTCTCACAATATACTGAAGTCCAGTTTGGAAAACTATCATTTTATGTCCAGAAGGATTTTTTTCTGTACTCCTGCAGTGAGCTATTTGAGACAATAACCCTCGTGTCTTGTCCTGTTCCAGGCCCTTGACCTCTACAGCCGGCAGTACCTCCACAGCTCACCCACACTGCAGCAAAAGCGTGGGTCAATGTACCTGCATGGACTGTACCAAGAGGAAGCGTTTCCTTGATGAACTTATGGTTGAGGTTTTGGATAGGACCAACAAGCAAGTCCAGTAACAAAAACAGAGGGATTTATGGCTAGAGGAAAGGCATGGTAAGAGGAAAGGTTCAGGTTGGCTGCACAGGTTGAGGACAGGGTTGCAGTGCAGGAGCAGGCACTTCCTTCACAGCTTCTGGAACAGGAATGGTGGCTAAGGGCAGATGACAGAACTCAGCAGAAAGAACTGTTTGAGCAGCTGCTATCACTAATAGCCACAACACTACCAGCTCCTGCCACACCGCATCACGGCCTGAGTCCCCTCCACAGTACCCTGTGCTGCAATCCAGGAATCGCTTGGACAACTCCATGGCTGGGTGGCCCATGCGATCAGGCCCGATCAGTAGCTGGGCATGGCAACTCTGCCCCATACAGTCACTCATACTAATCCCCTCTCCCACAGGCAGCTCCATCCTCCTCCCCTGGTGCCAAGTGTGAGGCAAATGTGGAAGGAAGTGAAAGGAGACCAGGGGTATATGCAACAGCAGGATATTTCGGTCTTGTACATGGTTTCACTGTTTGCACTTGTTCATGCACTTTTTTTTATTATTATTATTTAAGATTTTGTTGTGGTACTTGCAGCAGGTCTGTATGGCAATGGGTTAATGTTGTCCTTTTCTAATATATATTTATAAAAAAGCTTTTTATTTTATGAAGAAAGTTAATTGGTATCACTTCATCGCATCATGCAATGAGTAGTTAAAGGGAAACACATGATCAGGGACAACTGGGCATTTGCAAGCAAACACTATTTCTCAATAAAGTTAGCCTTATTGAGAAATAAAGTTAGCATCCATCCAGACCTCAATCACTTCCTTACATTACTCCATACTGTAAATCAATCCCACAGCCCCATCTGTTACGTGGTCACCTGACATTCTGTTAATGGTCTAAAATAAAAGTTTCAGCTCCTTCAGTTCCTCTCAGCATACCAGGCTCTCTTACTTGTGTCACAGTCTGCAGAAGGTTGGCCCATCTCAACATGGGAAACTGTGAACATGGATGGCTTCAAAAACCATGATAACCAGAAGATGCTGTGTTGCAAAACACTACCGGAACCCAGTAAGTGGATGTGGTCAGAGTGGTAAACACACACTATGTAAGCAACATAGCCCATCACATGTAAATATCTATCTTTGCCTTTGTTAATGAGATCTTCACAACCAAATAGCATTGGAATATTATCTTACACGTGCAAGCATGTGCACGCGCGCACACACACAATAAGTAAATGCCAAAAACGTACCTCATCGGTAAATAAGGGAAAAACCTGCCCACCCTTCCCCACATAGAGCTCATTTGCTATATACAGCAGTGAGTTGTATGGAATTGAAAGTACCCATTTTACATGGGGTGAAATGTCTATGATTGTTTAACTCAAGAAGTCACAGAGGCACCAATGACTGTTAGGCTGATCTGCAGCAGCTAGAGAAGAAATCAACAAGATTTGTCAATGAATATCATTTGTACATGCCCCCCCATGACAACTTCTACAAGCCATCTAGTTAAAATATGATTAACAAATCTGCCCACTGTCTTTGGACTCTTTCTGCATCACAAAACAAGCCAGCATGATAAAATCCCAGCTAGTGTTTCACATAAAACAAGACTGCCACATAATTGCTACACAACGAAGATGTAACTACACTGCAGATTTTATGAACTGTACTGCTGTGTGCTTACTCGACAGCATCAGTGCTGCCACTGTTTTAAATTATGCAACAGCACATTCAGTCCTAATAAACTCAGAAATGCTAGAGACCCCATGTGTAATTACTATATGTCATATATCACACTTTGCCCTATAAAATACAATATAGGTACATAATAGGTACCTAGTAATTTTCAGATTAAACGTTCCAAATGCTGTACTTACCACACTTCTATTCTTCTGCTGCAAGTCTCTGAAGAGATTTTACCTTTCAAATTATTCCTGCAAATCCAATTTTAATGTCTTGTATTAAAAACTCATTATGTATCCTCTCTTGCTTTATGTCTGGACTTATACTGCACATAAGCATCTTCAGTATATACTTTAAAAGATGAAGGATTCTAGATCCAGTTGACATACAAAAACCATGAAAGGAAAATATTATCAAAGTAAAACTATGCCTCCTGTAATGTAACCTACTTTAAGATAAAATCCAAAAGAAATGTAGTCAGAGTAATGATTCGAAACATGATTACAACATTTCTACTTCAATTACATGTTCAGTTATTCAGACTGTTTCTTTATGGAGTCACTAAAAAAGGAGCTATAATTAGAACATGCAAAAATAAGAGTTTTGAGAGCTCCAAAGGAACCATATAATACTGTCTGGTAATTAAACAATATATTCGGTACTTTTCTTACTCTAAAACCAACAACTGGGTTATCCAAATAAAGCCAAACAATGTGGTAATTTATTTCATGAAACATCTTAAGCATAAAAAAAAAATCACAAAACCCATCATCAGAATTGATTACTTCTATGAACAGTAAACTATGATCAGCAAAGCTGTAATAAAACACATTAGTCCAAATAAGGTAAGAGGTGGAACTGGAACATTGGATCTTCCCTCAAAACTTTAAAGGTTAGTTGCCACAACACATTTTTTATTCCGACTTGTTCCTTTCCCTGAAAGCCTCCTCACTTCACTTGCATCTTAACCAGTTATAGTATTAAAAAAAATAGCAATTATTCTGTATTTTTAAATTCCAAAATTTCTTCCATAGACCTCCACTAAATTAATGGAAGACTCCGGGATTCTTCCTCTTTGACCATATGAAGTCTGAATTTAGACATGAGAATAATCAGTATTAAAATTCAGCCTTTAAAAAGTATCAATAAAGGATCAAGGTTGAATAATAGCCTGAAATGGCTATAACCATGGTTACTATAGCTGTATATAATATTTAGTGCCTTTCCTTTTTGATTATATTAAAATATAGCTACAGAAATTCAAAGTGTCACCACCTCTGTAGTATATTATATATTATTGCAAAGAGGTTTTATTTTAGTAATCATCTGTCTTTGGAACTGTCTGGTTCTGGCTGGCCTGCTATGACTTTCTCAGGAAGATGTGAAACATACTGTGTTGTGGATGTTTTAAAGATGCTTCACAGTCCTCACATTTTGAATTTAAATTTAAAAAACATTGCTGGCTGAATAGAACATTGCGTTATTCCTTGTATCATTTTAATTACAGGTTCCCAGACAACATTATAAAGCTTTAAGTTAATTGCCTCCAATGGTTTGCAAATTTTCTTATTTTAACATGACAAAATAAAGTTCAGATTAAAACTGTACAATTGTTATAGTGGTAAAAGTAACTCACAATAGAAGAAAGACCAAAGAAGCATTAAGAGAGATCAAAGATATTGGGCCATCATCTATAATATGCTCAATAGATAATATGGTCAGCTGTAAGACTGGTTTAGCAAGTATTGCAGAAAAATGAAACCTTTCATGCTTTGGAACTTCATTTCTGGCCCAAAGCAGCATGCCATCTTAAAAGCTATATACAAAAGCAGAGACAAAGTGAATTAATGCTGGCATGTTCATACTGATGTGCTAAATAACTACTATGAAAATCAAGACAAAACTTGTTTTGTAAATACAAAGCACGCATAGTTTCTATATGTAATGACTATGGGCCAAATAACGCATCCCTGCTGTCCCCTCTGGTGGCTGGTTGTCTGCAGAGCTTCCTCTAAATGCCACTGAGCAAGGAGCATTTCTTCTGTATGGGAAAGAGCAAAGGGCGAGACTGAACACAACTGGATTCAGTGCTAAGCACTGCAGACTCCTCACCCCACTGATAGCTTCCTCTCACTTGCCCTCCACACTCCACTGTAAAGAGAAAGAGGTGCTATTATTCCTTCATGCCTGTATAGGTGTTTTTTCCTTTGGTGGGAGGAGAAGGGGGCTATAATTATGTCCATGATTTGGTGTTTCTCCCCAGGATGATATATACTTTTTTTTGTAGTGTAATTATTATGATAGATTATTTATACCTAGAGACTTCAACAGATATCAGGGCATCATTGTGGTAGTCACTATGCAAACTCATAAGAGACAACTCTTGCAGAACTCAATCTATACAGACATGTCAGGCGTAGAGTGGGAGAAGGCAATTACTATCATCACCATTTTATAGATTGGGAATTGAGACAGAGAGAGATTAAGTAGGTAATACAGGGAGTCTGCAATAAAGTCAGAATTTGAACACTGATACAACTTTTGCACATACACACAAATACCAGATGTGTTGACACAACACTTTTGGACATAACTTCCATTAGCTTTAATAGAAAATATGTCTAAATTCCTTAGACTTCTCTGAAAATCTCAACTATGGCCTATTAAATATCTAACATATGCAAGGTAATTTTGTGCACCTACTTGAAAATTTAGGCTTTAATTCAATAATATGTTTTGTGCGAAAGTGGAGAAGGAAAAAGTCTGTTTTGTTAATAAGAACTCAGAAAGCTTCTAGAAAGGGACCAAAAAAGATTCCCAGAAATAGAATGAGACAGAAAGCCGATGGGAAATAAAATGTGAGTGTGTGAGGTTAAAAGTTCAGCAACTGGGCTAAGTAGAGTATTCAGGGTGGAAAGCCTAGGCTTGAAGTTAACAGTTCCTCACAGACCATTTTTCTGCAGAAGCTGAGGACTGAAAACTTAAGTACTTAAGTGAGATGCACAATTACCACGTAGGTCAGAGAAAGGCATCTCTGTATGGTAAGATGGTTTAGCAGGAGATGGAAGGATACAGAGTCTAGGGACAGAACATAGGAAGGGAAAGCTGTGCACCTAGTACCTTAGCTGAGTTTATGGGAGAAGAACTGAGTCAAGCCAGACACAAGAAGTGGAGAATCCTTCATTATGTCCTAGGTCTCTAGTCAGCTGCCTCCCTTTGGGCCTGTAACCTGGATAGCGACTAAATATTATCCCACATTCCGTGCATACTAAATGCTTAGCTGGAGTAACATCTAACATTTTCACATTAATGACCAGCTAAGAATTACTTACAATACACAATTTTTAAACTGTAATCTGAAAATTCTCCAGTTTCCAGTAGAAAAAATAAATATGATTTAGATCTCATACTGAAAAAGTGACAGCTAGAATAAGAGAGACCTTTTTAAGTTTCAATATTTTACTTGAAAAATGTAGTAAGAATTTTTCACCTAATTTGAGCCTATTGTTTAATGTGATTGGCAATGAATGCTGTTATATGAATGAAATGCTCCAGACTCTACATCATACATTGCTCTACAAAGCCAGCCAAGAACTACAGAACTGCATTGTTTTATCACTTGTATGTTTTTCCTTTATTTCTTTTAATAGATAATAAAAGTAAAATTTAGATTGCTATTTGCGTCCTGGGTTCTCAGTCTTGAACGATACCAAATGCTAATTAATTTGCACTTCTTTCTGTTGTGAAGTTTTTATCTGATAGAACCTACCAATAGTGAGAATTTTATAGTAAAAAGAAATGGTTGGTGGAAGGAGACACTGTGGGTAAAATCCTGGACCCACTGAAGTCAATGTCACAACTCCCATTTCACCCTATGTGCATTTGAGTTCAAGAAAGGGAACAAAAGGATCTCAATCCACATGCACAATTCAGATCTGGAAAGGAAAGAGGGAGCCATTTTGAGAGGCAGAAAAGTTATCAAACCACCTATTTGCTGCATTAATCATTTTGATGACGTGGTATCAGAGCCTTGGTTGCTGGAAACCAGCTTAGTAGGCTTGGGAGCTGCTGCACCTAGCCCCAGAACAAAGATAAGGGACAGACATAGTAGGAATGAGATCCCAGCACAGAGATATTATCACAATAGGGACCCGCTAGAATGCAGATAAATGTGAAGCTGAAAAAGCTTCACAGGCAAAATAAAATAAATAAATAAATAAATAGAAGTCTTGAGCCAGCAAAGAGAAAAAATAGACAGAGAAAAAGTAAATGGAATTCTTTCAAGTATTTCAAACAGCAATTTTAGATGTGGGACTAACAGGTACTGAAAAGAAAATGCAGGAACAGGTGCAACAAGGCAGAGTGAAAGGAACGGAAAAGGGAAAGGCAATAGAACAAAACCCAAGAAGAGACAGGGTGTTACATTTTTCAAAGTATTTTAAATCTTATTTTATATAAGATTGCACAAATCTTATATAAACACACAACTGTTTGATTGTACATACATCGGGATATGCACATAATACTATTCCTTCAGTACAGAAGAAGAGATTTTTCTGATTAAGTTAAATTACACAAGTAGGTACATATGACTTACGATAGAAGCAGCATCACGTGATAAATCTTTCCTTTTTAATAGCAACCACTGTGTGGTTGTGTAGTTTGTGTATAAAGAAGTTTTGCACACAGTTTCACCATATTTTAAATGTAAATTCCTAATGGAAGGAGCTGCTCTGGAGCCTCATGAGCAGGGCAGAGGGACTTCCAGTGACTTTCAGAGATCAAGGACATCTGTAGAATTAGTTCCTTGTCCCTACTGCTAACTTGGGGTCCAAAATTACTCCATTCACAACAACTCTCATGAGATTAAATATGCTGACATACAAACAGTAAAGGCATTTTAATGATGCAAATTATGGGATTGGAAAACATTTGGAGAATATGAGCAAATGCATGAGATAATGACTTCTCTGCATCATGATGGTTGTGTAAACCACATAGTATAGTGCAATGTGAGGCTTTAAACTCCAGAGATATATTTGCACAAAATTCAGCCTTTACTATCGGTAAAAGTTTCATAAGAATTTAGCAATTTAATGTAAAAAGGGTAATTATTTTGCCAGGTTCTTTGTTGTTTCGGTGCAAAGTACATACTGCAAAGGTGTGAATATAGCAGAGCTGTTTCAAGGCTGATTTCAGCTGAATTTCTATTGCTCTATGCAAACATAAGGGACTGACATATTTCTGTGTTGGTAAGACACCACAAATGCCAACCTTGTTCAACCCTTTCAGAGCTAAACAGCCTAAGTGCATGTTTTGTGTGTAACTCACGTAACATCTGCTGCATTCAGGTGTTTAGGTCATTTGCAAGCTTATTTTTGGAGGGACTTTGTGAAGAAAAGGTTTCCTATAACATCTCTTTCACTGATCACCTGCTTTTAAAACCCCAGAAGCCAACATTCCTCCTAACAACAAATGTTCTTTTCTGTAAAACAATGAAAAAATATTGGAGAGTCTTCTCACTGGTAAGAATTTTAATTGGGTTAAGCGACCAAAATGTCATAATAAGAGAAATGTCTTGTTGTGCATGTTAATACTTAGTCATTATACAGTGCTTTTCATCTTCAAAACTCTTTACAAGTATTAAGCACCAATCCCTGAAGACCATATGCACAATTTCCATTGCCCTCCATAGGAGATTTGCCTGAGGAAAACTTGAGTAAGGACTTTAGGACTGGGCTCTAACTCATTAACCTACACATCTCATCCATGTTAGGTAGATAAGTATTATCCACACATGAGATGGAACAATGGAAGCAGAAAATAACTGATCAGGCCATGCCTCCTCTTTCAAAAGCATGGCACTCCTCTCTCTGCTTTTTGATTATTGAGTGTTTCAGAACCAAACTTGAATATTGTTTGTTTTGCCAAGATCATATCAACATGCCTTCCAATTGCCTATTCATCTCTAGACCAGAGAACCAAAAACAAGCTGGTTTAAACTGTGAGGATTTACACCATAATGCACAGCTCCAGACCAGATACCCTTGATTCAAGCAACCAGGCATATAAAAACTCATTTGTTAAGATTCAATCAGGAAACATTAGCTGAAGTTTCATTTTGATCCACATAATCATACATTATTTTCCTAGCAAATGTATTTTAAAAAAGTTTCCTGCACTACAAAACCCCCATAGTACTAATTATTCTATTGTTTGAGGAAGACTTAATTTCAACCTCTAATTGCTACTGCAGATATGATGTTTTTGAGATGAACTATTAACATTGCCTAGACCATAGTTAGAGCTGTTCAGCTGCAATCACTTTTAACAGCTCATGACCCATAGCATGCTCATTATACTGGAACTTTTAATAATGAAATTCTTTGGTGCAAACATGTGACATTGGTGAACAATTTTCTTTGTACTTACCATATGATTTTTATGCCACTTCGCTGAACACAGGATGTAATATATTTGGGCTTTTTATTGCTTGAGTAGAAAGTGCTCATTACCTATTTGTTTATGTTTATATATAGGAAAAAACAAACAGTTTTTCAAGTGGCATACATCACACTGTTGTAGTGGTTGACTTTCTCAAGATGGTCTTCTGGGGTTTTGGTGCAGTTTGTGGAGGCACAGTCGCAGGTCTGAGAGGGGGAAAGCTATTACTGGGACTTATTCCCAAGCCTCCATTTTCTAGAGGCAATGGAGGGAGAGGAGGAGGCGGCGGTGGTAAAGGAGGACATTGGTGAGGAAGCTTTCCCAGCGGGTGGGCCGGCTCACTGTGTAAGTGGACCTCCCTGTTTTTAATGTTATACCGAACATCACAGTCAGGGCAATAGCCATGGTACTGTACTTTCTCACTAAATCGTACTCGTTCCCGTGTTCCTGTCTGAGGACACCTGTCTTTATCAGGTCTATGAATCAGAGGATGCATTGGAACTTTGTCCAAGTTACTATTAGGTATGCAAAATACATCCCCATTAGGAATCTTGTTTGGTCCTCCTGGTAAACCTCCATTTCGAAGTAGGGTCCCATTAGTCTTTACAGGGTTGGCAGAAGGAACTGGCCTGTGAGGGTCTTCACACTTCACAGGAGTCAACCGTGGTGGAGGTGGTGGTGGATTGGGTTTCCTCAGTACGGTGAGAATGGCAGATGGGTGTGCTGGGGGTTTGATGAGAGGTGCATTGGCACGCACTTTGGCTTTCTCCAAGCTGGACGCTGTTGTGCTGCTTGAGCTGCTGTTCAGCGTGTCAGTTTTGGAACTGTCTGTCATCTCATCCTCCAGCTGCAGGTCAGATGTCAATGTGTCAATCTGGTCAACCACCTGCATGGAAATCAGAACACAAACAGTGATAAAGGTTCGCCACAGTAAAGGCAAACAAACAAAGCTTTATTCACAATCATCTTTATCCCCTGCCTGGAACTGAAACATTTTAATATTCAATGTTATGAACCATTGTTTCTTTTTTCTTCTTGTTTAAATCTAGTTTAATTTAAAAAAAATCTGTAGTTAGTCCTCTCATCTGAATACAATGGAAATACAATTTTAGCCTCTCTACAATGAAATTCTGTACTTTGTCTCCAGGGCTTATCTACCAATAACACGCTGCGTGAGCTATAATCCTTCAGTAACACAGTTTGCCTCACCGTGTAGGGGAAGGCTGAATGATTTAACCTCAGTTTGTTCAGGATGATTTTTGAATCCAGACCTACCGTAGAAGATCTTTTAGATTTGACCTTTAACAAAATCCAGATTTAAACATGTATCTCAGAATTGGTGATATTGTGGATATATCGTCAAAAGTTAACATACACGCCTATATAAGCAATTTTTACACAAACTGCTAAAGATTCAAGTAGTGAGTAGCAGTTACCAGCTTATCTTGAACCACACATTCTCCTTCTGTGACTATTTACTTGAGATATCTGACTCCCCCTAAACCAAATCTGAAATAGGATCATTTCTAAGATAAAGATATTGTGATTGTTTATTCCTGAAGGGGATAATTCACTCTATTTCATGCATTTTATATTAAGAGAATTCTCTATATACCATACTTCTAATGTGCTTCCACTCACTTCCCTAGTATCTAGGTTGTTCTAATCTAGTCTTCTATTTTCCAATTTATGATCATAATATATAAACAAAACATATAAAGTATGTAATGTTGCCTTCTGCTAGGTATACAAAACTTTGTACACTATGATTAAAAGCCCCTCCTGAAAAATGCACCCTATTCAGTACTTAGTTCATTAACCCTTACGGTAAATACAGCCATAAAAGCATAGGAGGGAAATACAAATTTGAAAAAAATAAAAGATGAAAATACCTTTCCCATGTCCTTATTACCATTGCAGGTTGTACCCGGACAACATCTAATCATAGAAATGCTATTGCTAAACTTATTTTCCATTTTTAGAATGTTTTCATATAATAAGGTTTTTTTCTACTTGTAAGGGAACACATTGATGTCCTTGACTTAACCAAAGGATTATTCAAAAGGAGAGAGATTCAAGTAGCCTCTTTAAAGGAGATTCAATTATTTACATGTGCTTTGAAAACACTTATCCAAAGTCTGTCTAGATGCAAGTAGAACAAAGGACTGTAATTCAGATATTTTTGTGAACTATATGTTTCAAAGTGACAATACATTAGTTCTGTTGTAATTCTTCAGAAAAGGTTGAAATTCAAGATAATACAGTAATATTTATTAAGCTAGTCTAATTATTCTTTGTAAGTAAATTACCTAAAGAATTTAGCCCCTTTTCTCCTAAGAATCATTTGGAATTTCTATGGCCTGGTCTACACTTAGAACAGGATTGACATAGCTACATGGCACTCAGGGGTGTGAAAAATCTACAGCTATGGTGATCTAATCCCCGGTGTAGATACAGCTAGGGTGACAGAAGAATGCTTCCGTTGAACTAGACACCATCACTCGTTCAAATGGAGTTCCTACAACAACAGAAAAACCTCTTCCATTGCCGTAGTCTGCATCTATCCTAAAGGGTTACAGCACCATAACTATGCCATCGTAGCTATGCCACTGTAGTGCCCATAGGGTAAATGTGGCCTATGGAAGTACTTCTATTTCTCAATATTTGACTACTATAATTTATGCAAACAAATTTCATCCTTTATGGTCCTGGCAAACTGCTCACATTGACTATTCCATGTTTATAGTGTGTGACTGGTCACAAGTCACATGATATTGTTTCTGCTTCCTGAATGGAGCAGAAGAGATTACAAACAAGGAGAATAATTGTGGTGTACTGAAATCTGTTTTAAAATTATGAAGAATAAGGAGCTCCGGAGGGAAATTTATTATCTGAGTCTTCAGCAGAGACAGTCTGCAGAGACACAGCCTAGAGGAAGGTGGGTTGAGCTGTGCCTCTCTACCTTAAGAGAGCAACCTGCTTTGCCTCTCTCTTTGACTGGTCAGTTTGTAACCCTGGTGTTTTTGATTCTTGTGTGTTAGGGTTCCAGATGCTAAGAAATGAAATAGTGTTATGTTGCAACTTTCCAGCAAAAGGATTTCTTGGTTTTATTTAACTTATTGAGGTGTATGATGTGAACATAACAATAACAAACAACAGAGTTAATAATGAACAACAAATAGTGAACACACGTATTCCCATATTAATACAAGTATACATACATGATGACATTTACCTCTGTGCAAGTGGTCAACACAAGGCCAATTCCTATTTAAATGGTGTACAAGCCTTGTGTTGGCCCATTGCACAACAGCAAATGTCACCTACTAAGGACAGGCATCAATCATTCATCCAAACCAACAACTCATCTGCATGAATGCTGGTAAGCAGCACCAAATAGTTAAACCGAATAGCTTTTCGGAATTTGAACAAATATTTGTAACACTTCTTGTAAAGTATCCAAGAAGCTTTCACATACCTCAAGTTTAGTACTCTCAACCTTTTGCTTTTTCACATTAGCAATACCGGGTCAGACCAATGGTCCATCTAACCCAGTATCCTGTCTTCCAACAGTGGCCACTGCCAGGTGCCCCAGAGGGAATGAACAGAACAGGGAATCAAGTGATCCATCCCCTGTCGCCCATTCCCAGCTTTTGGCGAACAGAGGGTACGGACACTTAGAGCATGGTGTTGCACTTGTGCTCATCCTGGCTAATAGCCATTCATGGGTCTATCCTCCAGGAACTTATCTAGATCTTTTTTCTCCAAGGTGAAAAGTCCCAGGTTTTTTAAATCTCTCCTCATACGGAAGCTGTTCCTTACCCTTAATCATTTTAGTTGCCCTTCTTTATTCCTTTTCCAATATATCTTTTTTAAGATCAGAAGACCACATCCTTACACAGTATTCAAGATGTGGGTGTACCATGGATTTATATAGAGGCAGTCTGATATTTTCCTGTCTTGTTATCTATCCCTTTCCTAATGGTTCTTAATATTCTGTTAGCTTTTTTGACTGCCGCTGCACACTGAGCAGATATTTTCAGAGAACTATCCACAATGACTCCAAGATCTCTTTCTTGAGTAGTAACAGCTAATTTGGACACCATCATTTTGTATGTATAGTTCAACAGACTGGCTATAGGAAAATAACTCTGAGGAGAAAAAAAAAGCCAGCAATCTGAAAACAATTGTCATTACATTTTTTTTCTTTCTCTGAGGACCCAATAGATCCAACATACATTTGTTAATTAAGAAACAAATTCTTCTCTGTCTTGAAGTCTCAGATTTGGCATTTTGTTTTTTTGTGATCAACAAATATGGACCAAATTCTATCCTCAGAGGTATATATTTGCATCAGAAGAATTTGGTTCTGATGAAGATGGAGATAAGACACTATGAGAGGTGCAGCACCTCAGCAGCTTCACCCCCTCTTCCCTTCCCCCTCCCCCGAAAGGGGAGAGTATATTATTTCTCTCCCCTATTGGTATTTAGGTAATGCCCAGTGGCCTCAAAATGTAGTTGGATTCCCTCTGTGCTAGTCACTGTACAAACACACAGTAAGAGGGACTTTCTTCTCCAAAGATCTTACAAGGAGAAAAAAATAATACAGTCCTAGCTCCAATTTACACATGTGGAACTGAGATAAACAGATTAAATGACTACTTAAAATCACATAGGGAGTCTGTGACAGAACTGAATCTACCAGGATGAATGGGGCCCTGGGCCCTGATAATGCAAGCTGATCCACACAGGCTCAGTGTAGCTTCACGTGAGTGTAAGGGTCTGCCTGTACAGAGCTGCTTGGATAATTGGGCCAAGGAAGAGTCTAGAGTCAAAGTTTTCTGTGCCAACAAATAACAGCTACAGAACTGAATAATACCGCACAGATCAGAGAAGATAGCTAAGCTAAGCTGTTAGCCAGGGAGAGAACAAGGTCATTAGGTAACTGAAGGCAAGGGGGAAGAAAAGACACATCTAGTGGCAATCTCCTAACTACCACAGGAGCTGTTCCAGTAAGGAGCAGTATGGCCAGGGTTGCTTGGAGTGGTGAAAGCATACTGACCTGACTGGTAAAGACCAAATGGTATTACACTTGGCTTTCAGCAATGTTTAATAACAGATTCAGCAGATATGTCAAAATGCCATGGGGGAGCTGTACGTCTCTTGTGAACACAGAATCCTGCCCATCCCACTTAGTCCCAGTCTCCCTTGCTTCCTATCATCCTTCCCCTCAAAGAGCTTTGGGTAATTGGGGGAATGCAGTAACCAACATGGCCAGTGTAATTTGGACAAACAGGGAAGGCTGCTCAGGTGAAGAGGTCAGAGCAGTGCCTCTTGTTATGCAATATGATTAGCCAAAGATTTGGCTGACAGAGATCAGCTTAATAAGCAACCAAATCTTTCTTGAACTTGATATGAATTCTTTTGGAATTTCAAATATAAAAATTCCCAGTGAAGAAGAAGGAAAACATCAAAGCATAAATTGACAGGCTGACCAGGTTTTAGCACATATTTCCATACAAATAAATTAAGTAAACGTATATATTTGCTCTCAAATAAACCAGTAATCACTCTTATTACTTAGCACAAACACATAATTGCTGAAGATTTTTAGTTCAACTGAAAGTGTAGGTTGTTTCTGGAGAATGGCCAAATGCTGAAGTGCTAATGCAACAAGTAGCAGGTTAACAAAAATTAGTACATTTTCCAAACCAAAAATCTATGCCAGTTATTCTGATTTATTTGCATTGTAATAGTGGTTAGAAGTCCCAATCAGGGATGAGGACTTCCTTGCGCTTAGCTCTGTACACACACAATGAAAAGCTGATTCCTGCCAAAGAGCAGATTGTTACACACAAATCTGTCCCTCATCACAATATAAGTTAC